TTAGCAATCGCCAGTTTGCTAGAGCAAGTCTTAGTATGAGCAATGCAAAATAACAATAGTAACAATAATAGCAATCATGTTGTTGTAGTAGTAGTAGTAGTAGTAGTAGTAGTCGTAGTAGTAGGAGGAGGAGGAGCAGTAGTAGCAGTAGTAGCAGTAGTAGTAGCTGTTGTTGTTGCAATAGCAGTAGCAGTAGCAGCAGCAAGAGTAGCAAATAATATCGCTCCTAAGCTGAAGTTGTAATGTTACCACTAGCAGCAGTAGCACCTGTGGCAGCAACAGCAACAATGGCAGCAACAGTAAACGAGTACCAGCAGTATCAGTAGCGGCTAATGCTCGGGCTAACGAAGACTAACACTGGTAAGTACTAGCTATCTGAACTCCTGCTCGAAACAGGATCTTCTGCCAAGAGGGGCAATCATCTTGTTCTACACGTGCCAACGGCGCCAAGCACGTGTCAGCTGCGTGGAACCAGTGCGGCCCTCAAGCAAATGCGGGGCTGCTTCATGCCGAGCATGCCCGGGGATTGCCACTGGACATGGGGCCAGAAAGAGCCATGTGGAAGGGCATGACAAATGGTGGCGCAGCTGCACGACATGGCAGCGGGCTACCCTCTAGATGTGGGAGGCCATGAGATGCGCAAGCCGCGCCAAGAGCCTCTTCCACTGGCTTGACCCAACTTTGATGCTGAGATGCTGTGTAGTCCTTTGACATCCCGGCCATGGCAAAAGGAAGATGAAGCAGCCGCCATGCCGAGCCCAGGCTGTCTGGATCACGGCACACTCGAGGATGCCATAAGATATATGTCTATGTACATGCGTGCCGGCGGGCTCTGAGTTTCCACATGCAGCTCGTTGTACACTTGGGAATGTTCTCAAATTAGACATCTTAGGGGGTCTAGCCGTCCCCCTAAAGCATTGCGGAAAAATCTCCGTCCTGATCAACTCCCATATGCATGGATGCAAAGCTCGCACTGCGCACTGGCCGGGTGAGACAGCAACATTGAAACTTCAAATTGATTCAGGATTATGCTAGGTAGGCATGATAGTAATACTACTAATAATACTGGGAGGAATGATGATATTGTTATTATTAACAATGGAAGGGGCTAGAGGCTATTCCATGGTAGTGTTTGCCTACCTAGGAATTATTGGAGGAGCCTGGCGGGGTCTTACTACATCAGTCCGCAGCCCGCAGGGAAGGACTGTCAGGATCATGCAGAGACTGCCAGCTAACCCCTAGTAAGGATGGATGATATAGGGTTTCCTCAACTGTTATACTATAGGAATAGTGAATATGGAAGCTACTATTTAGGGTTTAGGGTTGTAGAGGGGTAGTATCCTTCTATAATGGCGAACCAAACGGAACGTGGAATGCAAAATGAAATGCAAGCGCCCACTGTATGGGGGCGATATGAGGTTTACCTCGCCGTAATAGTGAAACCCCAGCCACTGCATAAAAATGCTCCCGGTATATGACCATGCTTTGAGGGCCCTCATTATTGGGGAGTTGGGGTCTTGTACTTGTGGCACATGCGACAGGTGGCGCGTTTGCACAGTACAGCGCCCCAATATTTCAATCTACTGTAGTCCTTACTAGAAGGGACTCCAAATAACAACCCCTAATTGTTGAACCCCCGGCCCCACTTTTGTCAAACTCTTCTTTAGACATCGCATGATGCAAGGTCCAGGTAAGCCCGCGGACTGACGTGTGCAGAAGCCAGCATGCTGGGAGGCGTGCTGCAGGACATGAATAGAAAACACCCTCCTTCTCCAAATGTGAGGCTTCTTCCAGCTCAAAGATGTGTAGGGTGTGAACAGTAAAGGGGGACCGCCCGGGGCACATAGTTTACGGGCTGTGTCTCAGTCATATTGTAGGAACAACCCCAAACCCCCTATTCTCTGGATTTGTGGTGGCCGTGCTATGTTGTCCTTAGGCGGCCTTAAACCTCTCAACCCTAAACCCCTATACCCTAGGGGTGCAGAGTTTAGGGTGTAGGGCCTAAACCTTTAAACCCTAGACCCTAAAGCCTAAACCCCTAAGCCCCAAACCCCCAAACCCTTGAACCCTATCTAAAACCCTCTGAAAACCCCTAGATGCTAAGGAGAGGTGCTTCGTACTGGACCCTTAACCCTAAACCCTAAACCCTAAATCCCTAAATCCCTAAACCCTATATTCTATCTACTTAAGGGGGACTATAGCAGACCCTTGCCTTGGACCAGCTAGCGTTGCGTCAGCCAACGAAACGCGCGCTGTAGGATGCCCATGGCCATCATCCTCAGTGGGTTAGATAGGGGGTTTAGGGTTTAGGGTTTAGGGTTTGATAGGGACCCCTATAATGGAGAAGAAAAATTGGAAGCTGTAGGGATTGTAGGGGCTATAGAGGGATTATATAGGGTTATATAGAGAATTATATAGGGATTATATAGGGCTCTATTGGGGTTATATAGGGATGATTGAAAAGAAAATGGTAGCTACTGTTTAGGGTTTAAGGGTTTAGGTGTTTAGGATTTAAGGGTTCTAGGAGGTAATATATGGATATATCAGGGGTTCCTAAGATTTGGGGTGCCGATGGAGGGGTGCCCATAATATGGATCTGGAGTCCCACTAGTTATGGAAACTACCATGTAGGGTTATGTAGTGCTACTTAGTGCTTAGGGTTCAAGGTTTTAGCGGGCTTGGGGGGTTGAGGTTTAGGGTTGGGGGGTTTGGGGATTAGCGTTTAAGGTTGAGGGATTTGAGGCTTCAACGTTCAGCAGTCAAGGGTGTACAGGTCGCTAGCGAGTAGTGAAATCGGGGCTCTCAGGCCTCCAAGGGCCCTCCCGACTAGGGACCTCTCACGCCTCGAAGTCTGGAGCTTGGAGAAGGCCGCAACCCAAACCCCTCACCCGCTTGGTCGACACAGCTCCAACCCTGCCTGGTCAAGAGGGTTCGGGGTCCAACTTCCTGGTAATCCAGAGATTGGCAAGGCTGAGGCCTCGAGCCAGACCCAAGCCTTCACTTTTTGCTGGCCTTGAACAGGATGCCCAGCACCCCGTCATGCCCTGCTACCCGCTTCAGTCATGACGTGCATGCATCGTAGGCCCATAACAGACAAAGTCAAGGACAAGAACACGATCATAAATCAAGGAAACCCGCAGGCTTTAAACCCTGCACCCTACACCCTGGGCCCTAGCCCTAGGCCCTAAACCCTGGGCCCTAAACCTTAAACCCTAGGCCCTGAACCCCAAACCCTTGCTTGACCTTTGGTCCAAAGCGTCTGAACAGCACGGCGGTGGGCTCCTGCCAGGACACCACGGAGGAGGCCCTTGGCTTGGCTCGAAACACCTGGGGAGTTTATGTAAAGAGTGTAGCGGGTTTAGTTTTATGGGGGACTGTAAAGATGTATGTACAAATATATATGTGTGTATCTATATATATATATGGGAATATAGGAGGGATGAAAGAGAAAGTGGAAGCTGCTATTCTGAAATGGAAGCTGGGATTGGGCGCATAGGCTTTCAAGATAGGGGTGTGGCTTCGGGTTTATATGTGCTATCCCTAGACCCTATACCTTAACCTATATGGAGTCCACTTCTCCATTCCCTCCTAACAACCAGTAAGCCTAGGGATGATGTAGGCCAGAGGAACCTTCAGGGTTTAGGGTCCCTAAACCCTAAGCCCTAAACCCTTGTCCCTAAACCCTAAGCCCTAAACCCTACGTGGAGCAAGGTTTCAGGACGCCAGGGGAGTGGGGAGACTAGTTTGGGGTTAGTAGGCTGGAAGGCTTCGCGATAAGGCCCACGGGAATTTTGGGAGCCCTTTTGCATAGAGAAGTCTGGGGGCCTGCACCGTGGACTTGTCAAAATTGGGGCGCTGCTGTGTGCTTAGGTGGGTTTGCCAAAGAGATGTATGCCAAAAACTATATATATATATGTATGTAGCTAGGGACATATACATGCACGTATCTTTGTTTATACATAGTCTGATCAAGATATTATAAACAAAAAACATAAGGTCGCTGAAGGGGTCCCTTGCAATCTCAAACTGATGACGACAATGGGCATCCTGACCATACATGGGGGATGACGAGATTGAAGGATTGCGTAGGGGCGTCCTTAATAAGTCCGCGCCTCCCGGCACAAGCATGGCCAGGCGAAGCGCGGCAGAGTCAAGATCACCACGGTGTGAGTACCACACAAAGAGGACGGCATGGGCAGCGTAAGCACCACAAAGAAGTCCCACCAACATACAGCTGGAACTGCCCAGCATAGCTGTGACGCGAGGGGCCACGACGACCGCGATGCCCAGCGGCAACGCATGATCTCGAAGCGTCACAATTGCAACACAGCATGCCGGCGGAGGTGCCACGCGCAGCAAGAATTCGGCAATAGGATTTGCACTCTTCGAGGGGGTGCATGCTACTGCAACACCCTTCAAAAGGAGGCAGATGGTAGATGCCATCACACGCTCGGCGCCAATGAGCCGCAGGAGCACCTCTCGTCGAGCGAGAACTTCCACCAAGCGCTGCTGCGAGATCACACTGATGAGGTTCATGCAGAAGATGATGGATTTCTCATTGGCGAAGAGGTGGGATCGTTCTGCATCCAGAAGCCAGGCCATGGGACCCAGGATGCCCAAAGGGGTACCTGGCTCTTCCCTCCACCACCAAACCTGATCCACTCCGAAGTCTATGATGAGGAGGAGATATAGCCAGGCCGCAAGAAAGCACACAGCTCGGGAGGCCACGCGGATCACTAGGACTCCTCGCACCACCGTCCGCACTGTGACACTTGCTGTTGACAGCTCGTCCTGGCAGCTTGCACTTGGGTATCGTTTCAGTTCACGAGTTGATGGACCTATGCGAAGCATTGCGAAGCTCAGCATACAATTGCTGTTAAGTTAACGGGCCGCTTGGCTTACAAGTATGAGTTCCGTGCTGCTGCAGCTGCCCGTTGCGCAGCAACAGATCTGCGATTTCTATTTGGCACGTGGCCGTAACTAGCCTATAGGCCTTCTACTGAATCCTAGACTGTGCCAGCGTACCTCAGGGTACTCTCTCTGGAGCTGGTAGAGGATGACCTTAGCACTTGTTGCCGACCCTTTTGGTGCCGGACAGAGGTCACAGCTCAGCTACGCTGAGGTCGCTACAGAGAATAGACTGTAGAGGCCAAGCCTGCCGGAACTGCACGGCTATCCGCGGAGAACGATCGCATGGGCTCTGAGGCAGGTGCGATGCGCAAGCGACTCGATTCAGCAGATCCCAGCCCTGCCATCCTGAGGAGCAACGTCAAACCATGTTAAACCAAAAACGAATGTTAAAGTATGTCATCGTATGAGCAGCATGGGCAACAGCCGCAAACAGCAGCAGTTTCCTACAAGGCAACTCTCTCTCGGAATTAGAAGGTAGCAAGCTGTGCAGCGATTCTACACAAGGATCATCACCACCACCATGCATCATCATCATCTTCTTCCTCCTCCTCATCATCATCATGTCTTTGCGGTACCAAGAAGTAGAATGAAAAGCTGCAAGAGGATCGCCTGTTCAAACGTAATCCATGCTTGCGTGGTGCTTGCGTGGCGCTTGCGCACGTGCATTCGCTTGCGTACACATGTGGCGTGTGACCTGTGAGAAGCATGCTGCTGAGGGAAGAACCATGCAACTCGGCTGCTGGGCTTAGGGCGCTTAGCACCTGCGCAGCTGCATTTCTACTCCATAACGGACAGTTCACGGTAGCTCCCCACTTGCACCGGGACCCCTGCCACAGACAAGGACGACATCGTGGAGATCGCAGGGAGGAGCGCGTGCAAGAGGAAGACCTTGCTGAAAGTCTGTAAGATTCTGCGGACTCGGACTTCCCAAACTTCCAGAAACTGAGGAACAAAAAACCAAGCGCTCAGCCAGCGCAGTGACCTCGTATCAAGCTCTGCCGAAGGCATTCCAAAACTACACAGGCCAACGTCTTGAGCTGCAGGCGGTCTGCGGCCAAGCCTCCTCAAACCTCTCGCGCACCCGCTCCTGGGCCCAACCACAAGCAACTATGGGCAGGTTATGGGCGGTGAAGCTGGGAACGGCGCCCAGCGTCCAACATCGCTGTACCCAAGCAAGCTCAAGAGCCCGGAGGTCCTTGCGGCATGGTGCTGGTATCCCTGGGTTATAGCTGGCCATGGCTGGATGAATTCATATGAGCTAGAGTCTAAACTCCTTAAAGGGGGATTATATAGGGGGTAATATAGGGGACTACTATAGGGGATAATAGGGGGGATACTAGGAGTTCGACTATAGCTCATGTCAGTGTTATTAACAAACATTGCTGTTCATATTCGTGTCTGCATTATTAACATGAACTTCATTCTGTGCCTGGCCCGCTTTCGCCACTGGACATTGGGACGCAAGCAGATCGCAACGCCTCACAAGATGCAAAGCACTCTCAAAACCTTTTTGCACCTGCAGCGTTCCCTTCTACGCGACCAGGGCCACCAACAGTGCTACCATCATTCTAATAATTGTAATTAATAAGGATCCGAATAGTAATAACATGTAATTTCCACTGCTACTTCTCCTCTTCGCGCTGCTATGTCTACCTACCTACACACACCTGCCCCACCCATCTGCCCAGGAACCTACCGAAATGCACAGCTCCCTAAACCCTAAACCCTAAATCCTAAAACCCCAAAACCTAAACCCTAAACCCTGAACCCCAAAACCTAAACCCTAAACCCTGAACCCCAAAACCTAAACCCCAAACCCTGAACCCCAAAACCTAAACCCTAAACGCTGGGTCAGCGGCACGGGCCGGTCAAGAAAAGGATCACTGCCGGAGCGGACCTGACGTACGCCCGAGGCAACCTGCGTTTAGGGTTTTACTATATGATAAGAGAGGTTTAGGGTTTAGGGTTCAAGGTTTAGGGTTTTCAGGGTTCAGGGTTTAGGGTTCAGGGTTTAGGGTTCAGGGTTTAAGGTTTTCAGCGTTTTTAGGGCTAGTGTTTTTAGAGTTTAAGGTTTTTGGGGCTTGGGCTTTGGTGGGGGG